GGCTATACTCCCAGCCTCACTTCTTCTCTTAAAAACAAGTAAAATCCTACTTTAGCAAATAAGAGTACCTATGTAACAAATCTAACACAAAATTTTCTATCACATACACACATATGTGAAAAAATACACACTCCAAAAAAATGTAAATTTGGTAGCAGTAGTTCTTGTAGGGATTTAATTTTGGGCTGAGGTTGGAGTTCATCAGATAGAAAGAAACTGTCAATATATTCATGTGATTTAAATCTCTTACATTCTCAAAACTTAAATTTTAATATTTAAAATAAAGTCCGTTCAAAATGGAAAAATCCAGTAATGTTAATATGAAATTTTATGCAGGTAAAACTAGATGTCTACAAAATACACTATAGTAACAGTTCTCGACCTTTCATAAATTGCGACATACACAAATAACAAGGGTCACATACAACACAGACTCTACAAGCTACCCATAAATAAGAGTTATAAACAATTCTGGACTTACAAGGTCTAAGTCTCTTTTCTCTCGTCAAAAAAAAAAATTCAAATATAAATATCACATGGATCATGTTAAATTCACCCTAAACTATTTTAAGGACAAAAAAATTGTTAAAGGCATTGTCAAACTTGCTAACTGCAGAACTTTAGCACACTTTACAATTACAGCCTCACACCTAAGGACCAATGACCTACCAACAAGCTTTTCTTCAGTTCCTCTACCTACATTTCCTACAACCTCATTATTATCCAAGAACGGGGATGGTGGGGGGGGAGGTACGGCTGACTAAGTTCTTTACAGTGCTGTTATCTTTTCAGCTGTTTCAATGTTCTCACTCTTTACAACTGATCCAGGTAAGGTGTTGCTGGTTTCTTTTCTTTTCCTTTTATTTTTTTCCAAGTGTTGTGTATTTACGGCAACAGCCGACTTCAATGACCTCCTGATCTGCTACTAACCAGCAGCATCATGTGACAGCTAGCAACTCACTGCACCTGGGTCTCAGTTTTCTTTTTGTTAAAGAGTTAATGATCCCCAACTTCAGTGTTTTAATGAATTAAATGAGATCATTCATGCCAAAAAAGCATTTGTAAACTACAGTACCAAGCATATGTATACAGTAGTACATCAGATTATTCACCTCAACAGGAAAAAAATCTGAACTCCAAAATACACACAAAAATAATCATATTAATTTTGTTTTAACAATCTCATTCCCCTAAAAACTCTTTCGTAGGTCTCCCCATTTTCTAAAGTACAATTATTCTTATCTATAATGATTAAGGCAATTTGCCTGGCAATGCTGAACTCTGTGCGAGGTTCTGTATATATTATGTTTCCAATCTTTACAACAACCCTTGCAGGGTGGCTGTACTTCTCTTCATTTTCCAGCTATTTCCAAATTTTGCTATTACAAGAAAAACATTACAATGAACATTTTTTCAAGTATATCTTTCTATGTGAGATTCTTAGGAAGGAGACTTGCTAAATCAATTAATATATACTTATGTGAATATATGTTTAAATGTTTTAATAGATAATAACAAATTGGAAGGGGGCCTGAAACAATTTATACTCCTCAAAACAATTTTCCTATACCCTTGCCTATACTGAATGTCACAGCTATTTAAAATTACTTTAATCAATGGATTAAAAGTATCTCATTATTGCTTTTACAATAAAACATTCCTTCTTTTGCTAAACACTCTCCAAGAAATACAAGCAACCAATGCCTGCCACATTTCCCTTCCGTGCTTTCACTGCTGAGCATCCTAACAAGCACTCTATCTCTATACATACATGTATGTCTTTTACATATACAAGTAACATCCAAACATAATACAGTTATTAAATCCAACAAATAAATGTTTTATAAGGCTAAGTACTGTAACAATGCTGAGATGGACTAATAATATTTATATATTTTTTATGTATACCAAAAAGAAAGAGAACTAGGAAGACTATGAAATTTCTTTAAACTAGTATCACTTTTTTCCAAGATTTAGTTTTACTTTTTGAAGCTTTTTTTATAAACTCAAAGAATTTTTCTTAATCCTAACAATCCTTACATTCACCTCTTGCTGGTCATTTACTGCTCAGAATAAAAGAAGCCCAGAGGATAAATACAGAATATAAAACAGTTTGAAAATACAATCTGTTTGCTCAGCACATTAAAATTTCTGAAAACTGCTATTCTTCATGAGGGCTACTTATAGCTTTGTTTTTTTCCATAAATTATTACAGCAGTAATAAACAAAAAGATATAATTTCGTTCAAATCATATACAGTAGGAATCATATATAATCCAATCTTACTTTGTGTAAATCGAGAATAATTATTAGTCATATAAAGTTTAGCATATTTTTATATTTGGGGGAATCTGGCGTATTATATGCTTTCTAAAGTAAATGTATAGCAAGTATTCAGAAAAAAGTAAAGGATTTTAGTTATAGATGTTAAAAGCACAACAGATTTTTCTATAAACAAAAAATAACATTTGTCTTTCCACGGCAATAAAGTAAACAAAACTAGAAATTAATGGAAATCCTCACATTTGATTAAATTTCAAACATAAAATGTTACAGTAAAGGAACTCCATAGCATCAAACTAAAGACAAAATATTTTAAATCTTCTGCTAGTCTTTCTCAGCAAAATTAGCAGCCAACATAGCAATTCACTGCCATGACACTGGAAATCACCAGGCTTCTAAGAATATACGCAGGTTAAAATAAAAAGTATCACAGTTGCCACCAGTACACACAAACAATATTTACACTTCATAACAAAGTCAGCAAGCAATTTCATTTGTGTTATTTTTATGGAACTTATAAACTAGGACCAGGTATTTTTAAAAGAGCACTTTAAGTAGTAGCCTTTTATGGAAAAATATTGAATGCTAGGAAAATTATATACCAAATAAGAACCTTGCCCTGATGCACACAAAAAAGGAAGGCCACTTAATCACAATACTGTATTTTCATAGCAAGCAAAAATGTTCAGCAATACTGTCTTCTATTTCCAAACTAGTCTTTCTTCTGATGAGAAGGAAGCTTTTCTTTACAGGTTGAATGTCTGCTAATTCTTAATCTAATAATATTTATTTAATCATCCATAAACATTCACTGAACTTACTGTATAGAAATCATTTAGGCTAGATGACAGGGAAACAAAGAGTGGTTAAAACCAAGGTTCTTACTGCATTGGGAGGTTAAAATACAGAAACAATTTTAACGTATGGACAGTGGTATACCAAATAAGAGATCTGGTATATTTCAAAGTGCCCTAGAAGTCAAGAGTTTTTTGGGGTTTTTTTTAAAGATCATGTCTAACCAGAGGATACAGAAAATTCTCCCAGTAAAGATAACACATGAGCAATGCCTTTAGGACTAAATAGCTGGAAATGTGGCAGTAGAGAACAGGTGTGCCCGGTGAGAAAAGCAAAGCATGTGACAGGAAAGAGCCAGCCATGTTTGGCAACAGCATGTAATCGGGCTTAGCAAAGACACACTGTTGACAAAAGGAAGAGGAGGAGATAAGATTACAAAGAAAATCAGGGAGAAAAGAAAAGTAGTGCTCCATTGTACATTCTCTTCTCTAATGTGAACACCCGAAAAAAATCATTTTTCTTATCTTCATTTATAGAGTTGATCTTACTATATTTTCTTCCCTGAGCTAAAAACACTTGCAGACTTATTTTCCACATGAGTGTGAATTCTTCAGGAGCAGAATCCACATCCTATTCATCTCTATATCCTTCTCAAAATGCCTTATATATAGATGCCAAATAAATATTTATTACAGTTGACCAAATATATGAATGAATACCCTGGAATTCAGATATCCATCCACACCAGAAGTTACCAAACTCTTTTTCTCTATAAAGAAATATAGAACATCCTCTAGCAAAAGCAGCCATGGACAACAGATAAATGAATGAGCCTGGCTGTGTTTTGATAAAACTTTATGTACAAAGAGCAGGCTGTATTGTTCTGTGGACTACTTTAACAACACTTCATCTATACAAACTTAAACTTAATAGATTATATTGTACATGAACATTTAAAGATAAATATTATATTAACAGATTATATTGTACATAAACATTTAAAGATAAATATTGTATTTTTATGACAACTTCCATCAAAATTCCAAGGAAGACAAAACTAAAAAGAGGTATACACAAGAAACACTGGAATAGGCCTCATCAAACCTGGTGAATCTGGATCTTTGGATACTTCTGCCAAGCTTTTCTCTCCAGACACCTCTTTAGGTCTTAGTTTTAATCCATAAAGTGAGTTGGCTAAAATAGTCAATTTGAAACTAGAACTCTATGATTTTAAGTTAAAGTTATAGATTTTAAGTGGAAATTTCATCTAGAAAATAATTACATTTATAGACAATTTTGAATCCATAAAACAAAATACAAGTTACCAAAGGAAAAAAGTATAATAGATAAAGACAGACATTATATGGCATAATTGATCTAATCACAAAAATTCAAACATTAATCAAAATTGTATTTTAGTACATAAAATCTAAGATTTTAGTATACTCTTGAATGTAGTTTAAAAAAAATCACCTGGAAAAATCAATTTAATAATAAATACAAGTTAATTTACCTAAGATAGTGATATGTAGAGAACACTTAGATCATACTTTTCCCAAAACAGAGGCAGTAACATCTGATCTTACATGCCACAATTTGCAAAAAAAGGGAAAAAACGGAATCTTACTTCTGACTTCATTTTCCATTATCATGGTGTAATAAGTAAACCATTATGATAAATCACTCGACAATCTGATATGTTTACTTTTAAAAATCTGAAGTTTTCAATTTCAAGATTTAAAGACCATGCAATATATAATAATCTAAGCATATGGTGATTTTATAACTTTTCCATATTTATAATTACTATTCAAGTAAAGACTTGCACTACAGAATAAAAACTCTTCACAGGCAATTTTCAAAGAATTAGTGGTTGGATTATAATTCTATAATTCATCACTACCCACATTTACAAAAGTCATCCCACTACAATTGCATTCTGAAACAAGTTAACATTTTCTGATTAGTTACTAACTTACCAAACACTTGGCAAATTCTTTGTTTTCTGAAAGGAATCCATAACCTGGATGTACCTTACAAATGAAAACAGAATTTTTTTTTTAATTTTATCATATTGCAAAACCTGTAAAGCAACATATACAGAGCATAAGTGTGTTTACTGGTCAAAAACACTAAATAAAGTTACTTCTCTCACCAATCGGCTCTAACTCACATTTTGAGTACAAAATCAAATTCCTTCTTTGTTCTGACTATAATGTAGGGCTATATCTTCCTGAGTCCTTGAATTTGTCTACAATATTCAACACAAATTCCCCCCACTTCTCCTGAGGCTAACTTTGGCCAACAAGTTTGGATAATTTCACAATGGCTAGTAGGTCAAAGAATTATGTCACAGGAACCGTGAGCAAGACAAATGGAAAATGACGAATTCCCCTTTTTTATTATTATTGTTGTTGTTGTGCTAGGGATACATTGTGATAGTTATAAAAGTTCTTATAATATCATAGTTGAATTTACCCCCTCCATCATTCTCCTTTATCTCCTTCCTCCCCCACCCGCAATTCCCCTTTCTTTGTTCCAGCCAAGGAACTAAACCAAACTAACACATTTTATTTCTAATGGCATAAGATATCCAGTCATTTGCCAAGGGACCTTTTCTATCAAACTAAACTACAATGGAGGTTGGGTTTATTTGGTTTGTATTCTGAATTTTTTAATTCTGATATCTGTTCCTCTTTCTCTCCTTACACCAAATTTAGTCATTCACAACTACTTTATGCTCTCTGCCCCATAAGCCACACTGCTGTAATCTCAATCCTCCCATCCTGTTCTAATTAAGTAATTCTGACTCTACCACAGGCCAGACATAAATTTAGCCACTCCAGTATCAATCACTGCTGAACAAATTTCTGGTAAAACAATTCTAAAAGGAAAATCAAATTTCTGAAGAAGCCAATATCATAACCTAGAAATAGCTACCTATCAGATTTTTAAATGCTGATTGGAACTTTATGAATGTGATACAGCATAATTTAAACTATTCTATATAGATAGTGTTTCATTCCACTAACACATTCAACTGAAGACTGCATTCTGACAAGCTACAACAGTTAAAGGGTTAAGAGCTTTACTTTATTAACTGGGCTAATAAACTGTAAACACCTAGAATATGGATTCATGAATTCAGTTTTTTATTTAAGCATGTATTTTACTACAACATTTCTTTCAAAAGAAATGTGAACACTAATGGAAACACTCAGCTAATTGTGAGGGTTGTATGCTTTCATCCAATGTTAGAGATTTCTGCATAGTTTTAACAATATATGTAATTAGTTCTCTGATACTAAAAAAAACTCTCTCTGAAACCAGTTTATTACTTGGATTCTGCTCCATTCAAATCAAATCAGTGGTGAAGAGAATTACTGATTTATCAAGGTAAGTTATGGGCATTTTACTGACATTAACAAACTATAATTACCAAACGCACTGTTTATATTTCTTGCAACATATCTACATGGACATAATTTTTAAGTGATTAAAATTCAAACAGGGTCTCTTGGATCCTGTTTATAACACAGTTATTTTCTTTTTAATTCTCTTATTACACCGAAAGGGTTAATACTCAAAACTAATTGGGATTTCTTTTTTCCTAGCAAATTTGGAAATGAACTGAAACTGCTCCCTGGTGTGAAAGCTGAATCCAGCAGCCACCTGCAGGATCAGCGACCAGCACTGCCAGATGCTACAAAGCCTTTCATTTCCAGTAGCGAATTCAGCCACATTTAACTCATGTGACATGAACTAACTGCAATAGCATTTTCAATCATTCTTTCTTATTTTTTTTTTAATACAAACTCTAGCTTTCTGCTCACTACATATGAAACAGCTGCAGTAGATAGGTTCATTCAGACTCACAGCTTGGGCCCTGGTTTTCTTAATGGCTTCCATGATGGCATCCATGTTGAGGTAGCTTTTACTGGTGGGAGCTGGGCCAACACAGACAGCCTCATCGGCCATTTTCACATGAACCTGAAGAGACAAATCCCTGCATTAACAGATGCTCTTAGCAAAAAGAATTATCACTGTTCACAAATACACACAAAATTGCAATTCAGTTATTTCACATATCATTTATAGAGTCGGATTTATTTGTGAATATGTACTTGAAAACAACAATGCAACAAAAAAGGCACAAGAACTATATTACCCATGATTTCATTTGTTACAAGCCTAATCCATTGTCTAACTAAATAATTTCTATAACAATCCCTACCTACTTACCTACCTATTCACAGCAAACAACTTTACTTTCTATCTTGTTCATCTACACAACAATCTGGTATCAAAAACTACCTTGTTACATGTATCCAGGGTAGCCCAATATTTTAATAACAAGTACTCATGCCCAGTTCTAAGCAAGCTCCCCAGGAAGTTGGAATAATTAGAGGGACTGAATGGAGGGATGCAGTGAGTGTCCCTGCACAGCATCAGGTCAGCACCAGACACAAATTAAAGCCCAGGACCAAAGAGTTCAATATCACAACACATGAACCAGAAAATCTTGAGAGCCATTTAAATACTCTCACATTCGAGCCTCCTCCATTTTACATTTATTCCTAAAAGAACTGATATGTTTATTAAGTCCTAAATCTATTCAGAATTCAGGATCATAAACACCATTTTTAAGACAACTCACTCTACAATGACTTAAATCTATTTACTTTTGCTTAATATAGGCTAGGTAGGCACTCAATATTGAAAGGATTAAAACTGTTTAGCTCTACAAGGAATCCATTCTTTTAAAATGAAAGAATTAGTATATTCTTGAACTGGCTTTTCTTTAACAGTTTTCCAATTTAAGTAACTTACAATCAGATTATTTTATAGGGCAGTTAAATAAAACTGGAACACAAACATACACCTAAACATTTATGACCCACTCTCCCACCAAACAAAGAAAAAAACAAAAAAAACTAAAGTGGTAAAGGCTTTTGAGTGTTTCTGTTACAGTCTTTGGTTCTGAACTGATTTTTTAAAACTTTGTTTTAAATGAGATCTAAAAAACAAAAATAAAAAAGTAGTCTTTTAGAAAGTTCAGAATTATTTTTATCAATTCAATACTTTCCAATTCAGTAAAAAATTACATTGTATAGTGAAAGGTAAAAGATACCTGCCCAAGAGATTTACAGATCAGTATCTCAATATAAAATACTCAAACACATACACTCTAATTCCTTTAATAACACCAATTGCAAGGAAAGGCAGTCATGTTTGTAAAAGACTTTTACATATTCCTATGTTCAAAGCAAGATTCTCCACTTATCTTGCCTGGCTTATTCTCAGGCTCAGTTTCCCTTTAGCCCTCAGACCAGAATGACTTCCTCCACTGCCTTCTGCCCATTTCATATCCTGATATTAGCAATTTTGTTGTTGTCATTACTAGTTCATTTCTCTTCTATAAGGAAGAAACTGAATATTTAATGACCTTTAAAAAGAATACATTAGCCGGTAAAGAGAGTCACTATTTAAAGTTAAATCCAGGGCTCAGGCATGGCTCAAGTGGCAGAGTGCCTGCCTAGCAAGCAAAAGGCCCAGAGTTCAAACCCCAGTACTACCAAAAAAAATTTTTTTAAATTAAGTGCAATCCACACTTATTTTATATAATTTATTTTCCTCAAATTCTACTTTTGACAAAAGATGTATGGGTCTTTCCCAAGTACTTCACATTTGGATGAATCTCCTCTAATCTAAACTTCCTAGTACTTATTAGGACAAATTTTGGCATTTGATTGCATTCTAGCCAGCAATCTAATTTTAACTGTTCTACTGACTATTGTGATTTATACAATCTCCTCATCATAAGATCCTAGAAGTTAGAGGCTATATATCTTAAATTCTTCTTTTAATTTCTTCAACACAGTATTACATGCTACAAGTTTATTAACTCATTTGGATGGTAATTTATTTAGTAACTTTCATTATGAAATGTTAAAACTATTGTCTTTGGAGTTAAAAAAAAAAAAAAGTTGCAAAATGAAGTCATTGAAATAAAAATCTAACTACACCCAAATGAAGTCTTCTCAATTTTCACAATACATCTGACAGTTGACAGTTTTAAGGAGGAAAAGATTACACATATGCATGTGTATGTGTTTATATGTCCAAAATTTCTATAATGCACATGAATCAAAAAGCAAGAAAGAAGGTATGGCTCAAGTGGTAGAGCGCCTGCTTTCCAAACACAAAGCCCTGAGTTCAAACCCCAGTCCCACCAAAAAAAAGAAAAAAAAAAATTAAAAAGGAAGCAGGGATCTAAATAGTACTTTGACTTTAATCCCATTCTTTTCTCTATACTTTTACGCAGACACTGCATATAATTTTTCATTCTTTTGTTTCTTAACTATAATACATTTTTCTTGTTTTCGCAACTCTTTATAAACACACCAAGACCTAGGTCTGTGCCTAAGACATTTGTAGATTATTACTATTATTCTAGTAAACATTTAAATAAATTATACACCAAAAGCAGGTTAAAACTACATATGGGCTTTACACAGAAGGGCTATACACAAACTTTTCTAAAGGGAGTTGGTTCTTCTATTTCTCAGAAACAAATCTTCAGGAGAAAGGGTATAAACACATCTCAACAAGCCTAAGGTCAGTACTAACAAAAATACTGGCAAAGACACTTCAAAGAAAAAAAAACAGAATTCTCTATCACCTTAGTTTTCAAGTAGATACTTAGGAAAGGCTAGTTTTAAAAACTTTTGAAGCTCATTTTCAATTTTGTTGCTACTGTTTTACTAAATACCTGAGCTGTAGTCTGGCTTAATCAACAAAACAAACTGCATTCAAGCAACAAAATGCTATTCTGAAGAATGATTAATATTGCCTAGGCTTACTAGATGTACTGATGTTTCAAAAATGTCAACATCTTAAAAAATGTTAAATTTCTTCTTATATAACAGAAAGGGAAACTTTAACAATCACAGAAAGTTTAAATTGAGGTAAATTGACCAAGTAGGATTTCTGACTATGTCCCAAAAAAAAAAACAAAACATTTTAAGCATTAATACTAAGTAAAGCAGACAGTCCCAGAACTTTCCATTGCCAGAAAAATCAAGAGCTTTTTAAAGGAGATTAATGGTTTCTTCTCAAACATGTACAGTTACATATTTTTCAATTTTTAATTCTTCAGAGGAAAACTGCTTGTATCAGGCTATTATTTCCCAAATAATGAGATAGCTGAATAAAGTGTATGTTTCTCAACTTACAGGACTAAGAAAAATCATCTTCCTATTGACTCTTGAAAAATAAATTTCTTACCTAGCACACATGAGGCCCTGGCCTCTGCACCACCACAAAAAATAAATAAAATAAATTTAAATTTAAATTCCTGGATACAGACAGGTTAATAACTGTAACTGGGCGGGGGGGGCAGAGGTGGCCAGAATAATGTATATTCATGTAAGTATACGTAAAAATGATCAAATAAAATTTTTTAAAAATAATAAAATTATTTTAAAAAAAGAATTGTAATTGAATTTTAAAAGCTTGGATTAATAGAAAACTTCCTATTAGTCAATTAGACACCTAATATGTACTGAAAAGAATATTCCGTTTGGCCCCTATCCTTATTAAATAAATTACAACTTAGTGTTAAAAAGTACTAGGCTTTATGGTACATTTAGCTAAAAGCTCAAGACCACTTGACTCAGTGGTCTGAGAGAAAGCTTTGCAATGCCTCATAAACTGGTACAGATCAAGAAAGACAGGGAAGACTTGCAGCTTTGAAGATGCTTCTTCATCCCTGAGGCAGTCTGAAGCCTACCATCAAGAGGGCACTATGTACCATGGACACTTGAGTTTTCTTTGTGATATTTTCCAGTGAAAGATACTGGCTAAAATACCAGGAAGATGACATAATCTAAACTACATGGGTTCCTTGCCTGAAAATAGCAACGTCTCACACAATCTGACAGACCTTAGGAGCTCAGGATCCACCAAATCTAACCAAATGCTCCAAACATTACCAATAAATGAAAGTTACTCTTAAAAACTAAAACGCTAAAAATAAATAAACACACACATGCACACACATGTAGAGGAAGGGCTGGAGGAATGGCTCAAGTGGTAGACAGAGAGCTTAGCAAGTACGAAACCCTGAGTTCAAACCCCAGTACTGCCTCCCCGACACCCCCCCCAAAAAAAAAAAAAAAAAAAAAGAAAAGAAATTTAACTACATTGTCTTAATTTGAAGAACTGGAAAAAAAAAAGAATTATCTTCAAGGAAACTCCAATTTTGAGAGAGAGAGTGCTCTTCTTTCTATTTTATACAAATTATCTGAAGAGACTTATACAAGTTTCAAAAGACCAGCATTATGACATACCCTGTCCAGAAAGGCAATTTGATTTCTTGAAAACAAAGAATGATTTTCCCTCTGTAGGGCAGTAATTACATTCCTTTTGACTCCATTTTGTAAAACAACACGTGCAGGTAGGGCTAAGATATATTTATCCATGATTATTTAGAATGCTAGAACTAAGGCCTTCACTGTTATTCTTGTTGTTATTTACATAACTTTCCAAGTGGTAAAACTAAAAATTACAGAAAAAAATGAGGATTTTGTCACTTGCAAAACTATCAGCCCATTTTCTATAATCCTGTTTTCATATCACAAAAGATAAGTGATACCAATCAATCCTGGAACCAAAAATTTTTGATTTCCAGGGACACATTCCTGAGAATACAGTACACAACAAAAGAATAATAAACAGCAGGACTAGCATTCGTCTCATATGCAGGCTCCTTATAGAAGCATCAAGGCAGAGTGGGAAGGAGAGAAGACGGGACAACAGATACCAAGTACTCAAACAAAACCTTAACAAAAGCATGCCTACCTGGATCTCCAGACAACAATGAAAAGGACTGTAGGATACAACTGGGGATAGAAACAAGAGATAAGAAGGAAAAGGTAGGATGTGGTAGGGACTGCTAATATGGTTAGATGTAAAGGTGGGGAGAGGCA